TCCTCCCTTTGGGTCCCAGCAGTGTCTCTCTGGTTGAGTGACTCTGTGGACCCTCTCCTATAAGCCCAGGTTCATCCCACACCACCCAGAAGCCCAACCTAATTCCCAAATCCAAGCTGATATTTCTAGGAAGCTGGTTCATTTTAATTCCATCTTTTTCCTCAAATCTTTGAGATCCTATTTACTTCCTACTCTGTCCATCCTAAAACCTCTTCTCTCAAAACCAGTCTCCTTCATATCGATAAGACCAGATCTAAATGCCACCGAACATGAAGCTTTAACCCACAGCAAAGTCTCGCAGAGCTCCAGGCCCTCCAGAGTGCTCTTCCATCAGCTCTGCCCAGCCCCCACATACCTGCTCGAGTGCATACGAACTACCAAGACAGCTGGCTGGACCTGCAGGCTGCCAGGCCTCAGCAGGCCTAAACGGGGCTTGGGAATACACATCTAAAACAAGCCAGCAGGTCTTCTAATGCAGCCTAGCACCAACCTAGACTCTTTAGCCTGAACCTCCACCCTACCAAGGCCTTGGAAACAAACTTCAGATCACTTGTGCCTGTATTTATGAGCATCATTTTAGCTTCCCTCCATCCTTCCTCGCAGAGAGATGTGGATAATCTGAATGTTCATTGTACTAGATAGACCGCCTATGTCACAGTGTAGCTTAGTTTACATCTGTTCTCAGGGTAGCTAGCATGTATCTGCCTGACTGACCTCAGGCTATGACAATCTTTAAGAAAGGGAACTTCCTCAGGGAGGAAACAATGTTTCTTCAGAGGTCAGCCTGCCTGATTCACTTTCTAAAACATTTCTTGCCTTACAGGTACTTCAGTTGACCTTCTAAAAGAATGCTTTAAAATGCTTTGAATGTTTGCAAGAATGGACTTGTAATTATTTTGTAATTTCAAATTTTTATCACTGACATTAATCCATAAATACACAAATCGCTTAAAAGGAAAAAGGAGTAGCCGAAACCGGTTTGGCTCAGTGGATAGAGCGTCGGTCTGCGGACTGAAAGGTCCCAGGTTCAATTCCGGACAAGGGCATGTACCTTGGTTGCGGGCACATCCCCAGTAGGAGGTGTGCAAGAGGCAGCTGATCGATGATTCTCTCTCATCGATGTTTCTAACTCTCTATCCCTCTCTCTTCCTCTCTGTAAAAAATCAATAAAATATATTTTTTAAAAAGGAGTAATAAAGCATTAAGAATTTCCTGGGTGCTTAATAAGTATGAATTTTAAATTCTGAACAAATCAATATTCTGTTTCCCATATTAAAAAATCCGTATGGACATAACTATTTTCAATTATAAATGACTCATTTCCATACCAGACAGGTCTGTAGACTAAGATAAGAGCAATCTGATAAGAGGGGCAAAAGGTCCCTTGAATAATGCAGTGTAATGGAAAGATCACTAGACTCTGGGCCTGCTGTTCCTAGACCAGTTCGGCAGTGGCTGGGCTGTGACCTGACTGTGGGGCCAGGGCCACTATTTCCCTGTCTTTAGCCACGATGCCCTCACAGAACCATTGGAAATACATTAATACACATGAAATGACTTAAGTTGCTACTTCAAAAGACTACATTCCAAATTACTCCAGGCTATTCAACTTTTGCAGTGCTGGTAGGTGTTCTACACTAGAAAGTTCCTTTCCTCGGGTGATTCACAGGGGATCTGCTCTACACAGGGTTTATGCTAGGTACTCAGGAGGAGGAGAGAGAAATCAAGGTTAAGAGGTTCCACATATTTGCAACCTAGTTGGAGAAACAAGGTATTTATAGTGATTTCATCATTTCTAGGTGGCAAAGTGAGTGGTGCACACAATGATCACTGTAGCTCGGTCCTCTTGTCCATGAGCCAGTAAATACACTGTTAGTCAATCCTGAGACAGAATGTGCAAACCATATAGATGTTTTCAGTGTCTCATCCTTGTGATAGTTGACTGGTCGGGCAGCTCAGTGAAGGGAATGACGTGGAAAAAGGCTTCTCAGAGAAAGTGAGCGTCTGTTAAGTACCTGGGTATTTCATCCTTAGAATCATCCCATGAAATAGTAATGTTCTCGTTTTGTGGATGAGAACCCATTTTAGAAAAAGTCACATGGCCAGGACACAAAGCAAGTAACAAGGTCAGGATCTGAATCTAAGTCTGTTCTGACTAAAAAAGTCTGATATCTTTCAACTCTATCATGGATATGCTCAGTATGAAAGAGGGGAGAGGAGAAGAAGGCATTCTGGGTACAAGGATCAAAATAAGCCCAAGCTTGAAGCTAAAAAAAAAAAAAAAATTCCAAGTCTAGTGGGGGTGTGAGGGGAGAAGGCACTGGGCAGTTTTGGGAAATAAAATTAGAGCACAGATTGTGAAGAGGCTAAAAGTAAAGATGGTTTGGAAATGGGGACTTAATCCTAAAGATCCATAAAATGAAAATGGAGACTGGAAGCAAGGGAGTAGAGGACAAAACCAGAGCTCTTAGAAAGGTGAACTTCATAGCAGGATACAGATGGACTCTGATACAGAACAAATTATTATGTAGAATTCCAAGTACCTCAATATTTAAATAAACCCAGCAGCAACACTTTTGTAATAAAATATTATCAAACTATTTCTTGTATGCATCTTTCTTAAAACACATCTCAAGCACTGGCTTGTGTGGTTCAGTTGTAGGGTGTCATCCATGCACCAAAAGGTCACTGGTTGGGCACACGTTTCTCTCTCGCCCTCTCCCTCCCCTCTCTCTAAAATCAATTAAAACCTATTTATAAAAAATCTTGAAACACGTTTGTAAAAACAGCTATTGTGTCCTACCAATTCTAATATAGGTTGGAAACTACTTCCACCTCCAAATGCATCTAAGAAAGAACATTCCTTAGATCAGGCCACATTTAAAAACCTTGGCCAGCATGCCCACAGCAGAAAGAGCCAAAAAGGAATTAAGAGGGGAGATTTCAACTCACAAACTCCTTCAAGAAAAACAAAGTTGCAAAAAGGTGGTATCTTTACATTTACAGAAACACTCAAAACTTTTTGTCAGGGAAACAAGTTAAAGACTGACAAATTAGAGAATGCCTTTCACATAACCCCCGATTTCTTTTCCCACATTTATAATTTCCACTTCCCACCCAAAATCAATACAAAAGCATCGGTCTCATCACTTGAGGGCCCAATTTCCTTTCTCTTATGGATGGAGAGCTTTTTTTTTTTTTTTTAGGTCTAGACTGGTGCACTTAGTGCCTCCTTGGCAGCTCAAGTTCCCCATCCCATTCAATCTTGACCACAGGAAAATTCAGCTGCCTTCCGTAACCCAACTCTGAGCGCATCTAGCCTAGGTTCCGTGTGGCTTAACTCGCACCTGAGACGTGGCGCAGGATCATATTAAGCCCTTTAGTAACTATCAGATGGACAGCCATAACCTAATTAGCCAGCAGAGCACATGTGACACAGGCCGAGCCGGCACCCTGGGTCAAAGACACAGCTGGATTCATCCACCAACAAGGTGATCATCACCTTAAAGGGGGTGTGGGGGAGGATAAGGAAACTTGGCCAGGAAAATGTGCAGGGAAGTGTGCAGCTGCGGTTTTCAAAGAGAATTACAGCAGTAGAGAGAAGAGGCAAAAGGAATGGGCTGAGGGAAGAGTCATCCTCTTTTCTACAAGATACCTGATGCTGAAATGACCTCCCTCTCAATTTTGCATCCCTAACTTTAAGTCTGAACCTTCCAGAAAGTTCAGTGAGCTTGAGGTGCTGGGGGAGCATAGAAATGTACCCAACCCACATTTTGATGTCTGCCTACCCCTGCAAAGGAAATGAGATACCTATGCTTAAGTACCAAGATATGTTAATGTACGGAGGGATGGGTAAGTTCCTCAAAGATTACATCTTGCTTCTACTGCCAAAGACCTTCTCAGACTACAGCCCCTGGATGTCCAGCCTGGGGCTGAAGCATTACACGCCAAGTGAAGTAGAACGAAGTTAATTCGCAGACGAGAAAAGCGTAGGGGCCAGCCAGTAACGCTAAGGGAAAACACATGTTTTTATTTTCTCCCGGGACATGCCAAAATAACCTTACAAAGACCTAATTTATAACCCCAACAACCAAGAGCCTAGTCTAAAAAGCCTCAAGGACGTGGCTTGACGGAAAAGTCGGCCTGCAGCGCCAAAATTCCCCGGATCAGCCTCCGCCTGTCAACGTGGACTTCAGACCCTGCTTTACGCTGGAGTTGTATAATATGCAAAGCCAAGTAAATCCTTCAGGACCGCAGGACTACTGACTGCACTTTACTTTTACCCACCCCAGCCTCCACCCCCGCCTCCTAAACACTGGCCAGGGAGGCTTCGATGCCCAAAGGTTTGTCCATTTGCATGTGGACTCCAACAAGCGGCTATGGGTCCATTAAATAAGAAGAAAAAACAAAAAAACTTTCTCTGCTGAGTAATAAGGACACAATTAGCCAACATCTCTCAAAAAAAAAAAAAAAAAAAAGTAAAGAAAACACACACACACACACACACACACACACACACACACACACACACACACACAGTGAGGACCCGGCCTGCAGCTGCGCGCTCCGGCCGCGGGCGCAGAGGCCGCGCGGGACGGAGAAAAGCGGGCGTGGCTGCCGCCCCCGGGCCTGTGCGGACTCGGCCGGGGCGTTGGGGCGGCCTCGCCGGGAGACGAAGGCCGAGCCGGCCAGCCGCCCAGGGACCCAGGCGCCTTCCCCGGGGCCAGCGGCCCGCACCTGCCGCCCGCCCGCCGCCGCCCCTTTCGGTTCACAGCCTCCCGCCCGCGGACTCACAGCTTCAGCCGCTCATAAGTGGTCGCCGCCATCCCGCAACACCACCTCCTTCCTCCTCTTTCCGCCCGCCCCGCCCCGCGTCGCCACCTCGGCTACGGCGCTACCGGTCACCCTGGCGCGGCGGCTGCAGCGCCCTGGTCCCACCCCTTCCCCTCGCCCCGCCGGGCCCGCGAGCGGACGGGAGGCGGCGGCGGACAAACTTAGGGCGCCCACTAGCGCACGCAGGAGACGCGGCGCACGTAGAGGGCTGGAGCGCGGTGACGTGGCCGCTGCGGATTGGCGGAGCGGGTTCGCAGGGGAAAGGCGGAGCCTGAGGAGCCCCAGGCTGGCTCTGCGGCAGCGCGGCAGCGCCAGTGCCGGCGAGCCTGTTGAAACTGCGTAAGCGGTGATCTACACGACAGCGAGGAAGTTACTCGTACCGGGCCAGTGGCGCAATGGATAACGCGTCTGACTACGGATCAGAAGATTCTAGGTTCGACTCCTGGCTGGCTCGAGGCGTACACTTTTGTCCCATCTGGGTTTAGATGTTCCAGGCCCTTCTTGAAAAGGACTTGTGATTCAAGGGTAAAGGCTAATTATCTGCAGTTTTCAGGTTATTTTGCCCTAAATATCATCTTTTCAGCCGTATTTGGAACCCGGGGCTAAAGCATTAATTATGGCTAAAGTACCAGATGGTTTGTACATGGCAAAGCTCCCCATGAATGATCCACTTGTAGAGTCGGTAACAATGGGGCACATTTAGGAAGACGCAGCTGGAAAGGTAGCAGTTTGGAGTGCGGTGGGCAGGGGAGGGGGAGCGTGCGATGGCCGGAGGGTAGCCACCGGATGACGCACAGGCGCACCGAGGGCTGCAGTCCTGGCCTTTCCCCCGCGGAAGAGAAGCCGGGCGGTGGCGTGCGGAGCGGTGCCCGGTCAGGTTTCAGGGATGGAGGGGGTGGGCTCCAGCTCTGACCCGCTTTGGGGCAGGATCTGCTGCAGTGCGGCTGCGCGCCTCCGAGCGGCTCCGCGGTGCAAGGAGTCTGCAACCCTGTCCTTGGAGATCTCCGAGGTAACCTGGCCCCCAGTGCCATCGGGAAACCTTAAGACGTGGGTGTGTTTTTACGGCCAGACGACCTACTCCCCTCATTGTATAGGTGCCTGGCTCAGAGACCTGGGAGGGCCGGAAACGTCTGCGGCGGAGAGGGGACTCGAAGCCAGGGAGTGGCTGAGACATCCAACGCTGTCCATTAACCAGTCACACTGATCGATTGATTAATCTGTCCAATATAACGTGTTTTTCCTCTTGAGGAAATATAGAACATTTGTAAACTACCGAAAATGATTGGGAATAAAAACAATGCCAGTTCTCATCGCAGATCATTACTATTCACATAATTTCCCCCCCCTCCCCTTAGAGGCCTTTCCCCCGCCCCGCCCCCCACATTTTTAATATGGATCTACCCACACGTATTTTTCCAAATTTCCCGCTTGTACCAGAAATGTCTTCGTTTTCTTTTTGTCCCTTTAGCTTTTTTGCCTGATATGTAAGGTCATTAAATATTCTCCGAAGATATCTCATTAGAGTATATTTTAAGCATTACTCTTTTGTTGGGAATTTAGGTTGTCAGTTTTACATTTTTTAAAAAGAATTCTGTTATTTCATATACGTCATAAATTTATAGATGTGAAATGATCAAGTGGACATTTTTAAGGTCCATTTTGTGGACATTTTTAACCCATGGTACGTATTTTAAAATTGCCCTCCAAAAAAAATCCAATAAAATCTTCTATTAATAACATGTTTCCTTGCATTCTAATCAGCACTATTTTACAAGTTTCATTATTTCTTTGCAATTTTCATAATTGAAAAATTAAAGTTCCTTTTACTTGATGTAACTGTTTTCTCTTGATATAGGCATTCAATGTTTTCTTGCAGATTTGTTAAGACTTTTTGTAATATAAAGGATATCAATTTTTTGCTATCAAAGATTGCATTGCATTACAATCTTTTCCAGTTTATTGTTTACCTTCCCCTTATATTTCTGCACCTAGAGTAGTTTTCACTTTCATATGTTCCAATGTACCAGTATTTTTAATTTTATGGTTCCCTCTATTGCATTAAGTGCTCTTTTCAAATTGTTTTGTGTTTGTATTATTTTTTCCATTTACTTTTACACCATTTGTAATTTATTTTGTTGGTCATTCCAATAGAAAAATCAAGTAAGCTTAAAGTCTGTCACTCCTATTGAGCAATTAAGGCTGTAAGCTCTTTACTTGGACTAATTCAATACTACCTCAATTCCTAAGGTAAGTTCTGTTGTAATCCCTTTTTTTTTCTCCCCCTTTTCTTCCCCCCCCCCCCCCCCCAGCTCCCACACTTGTAATCCCTGTTTTTAAATATTGGGAAACTATTGATAATTTACTTAAGGTCATTGACTAAAACATGGTCATCTCAGGACAAAAATCTCAGTCCTTTCCCCATTCTGACACCCATATGTTCCTTTAAGAACCCAGAGCTCACTGAAATCGATTTGGCTCAGTGGATAGAACGTCGGCCTGTGGACTGAAAGGTCCCAGGTTTGATTCTGGTCAACGGCATGTACCTTGGTTGCCGGCACATCCCCAGTAGGATGTTTCTAACTCTCTTTCCTCTCTAATCAATAAAATGTATTTTAAAAAATCCAGAGCTCTAGGGTCCCGGGTTCGGGTTCAGTTCCAGTCCAGGGCACACACCCAGGTTGCTGGCTTGAACCTCAGTAGGGGCACGCAGGAGTCAACAGATCAATGATTCTCATCATTGATGTTTCTATTTCTCTCCCTCTCCCTTCCTCTGTGAAATCAATAAAAATATATTTTTTTTAAAAAGAAGAAACCAGAGCCCTAAAAGGAGACCAAATCCACTTTACAATGAGCACCGTCTTCTTATTTCACACACAAAAGACCCGATCAACATTATTAGGTTGAAGAGCACTTTAATGGTCTACAAATTGATGAGTTTTATTGTTATGACATGTTAAATCATTTTATAGGAACAGTGAAACCTGGGATAATTTTACAGGAACAACATTGTGCATAACTTCATAGGAACAGTAAAATTTTTAATAAATTTGTAGAAAAGAGACCGAGAAAAATAATTTTCACTGCACAGTTGACATTTTCATACTCTCAATGGAAATTTCCCACATCTGTCCTGTTCTGGCTCAGAACAATAGATAGCCAACATCTGTTGTTCATTTTTTATCTGTTAACTTCAGAAAGTTACTTCAAATAGTAACTGGGAAATTAGGACCATTCGCAGCACAAAGGAGAGTACAAAGAATTTGGTTTCCTGGCAGACAGGGTCTTATTAACAACGGCACCAAGCAACCATGGTTTGGGGGGCGAGTCTCGCACACATTCTTTGCAAGTGAGTCAGCAGCCCTCACAGTTCTCACTTTCACACACACACTCACACACACATACACACACACACAGAGAGATGGCCTGCAAAGGACTGTGGGTAATTCTCCAGTCCTAACATTTCTGTTTTCCCTTTTGTAAGTGTGACCCAAGCCCAAGGAAACAAGGTGACGGCAGCCCTTGCAGGTGTTGGAACTTGGTGACAATCCCTCCCACCATGCAGGACCCAATGGAGCAACCTCAGGACTCAACTGAAAGAGCCTGTCACTCCAGCACTGACCGAGGAGCAAGGAAAGTCCTGTGGGGGCAGGGCCAGGGCCCTTGCAGTGGCAGGGACAGGACTAAAGGCCCTCCCATGGTGAGAGATGAACAAATCACTCTTTACTCAGTGACAGATAGGAAACACCAGAGGCAGAGACTCCTGACAGAGCGGCCAACCTGGGTTACTCGCCTTTCGACCACCCAGGCAGGTTTTGAAAGGCCCTACCTGAGGGGGTGGGTGAGGGGCAGTAGGAAGCAAGAAAAAGAAGGGGGGGAAAATGAAAGGGCAATGAGGCAAGGGAGAAGGCTGGCGCTGGGGTCTGGAATCAGGCTAACGTCAAAGAGCTGTCTAGGGAACCAGGGAAGGGCTGTTTGCTCTACCTTTTACAGCCAACGTATTCATCCTGGTCTGCCAGGCGCTTGTTTTCTCTCTAAGCACAACCTCATGACAGGTCCACGTGGCTAATAACGTACAGAGTGTTTAAAATAACCGGGTAGGCGAACATCTCCTCGTGGCTTACGTGCAAAGGCCTGAGCAGGAGAGAGAAAAACGGGGGGACGCGGATCACGAGAGAGGTTGCTGCTCATGTCTCATCTGGGAATTCTCATTGTTCTTCAATAATAATAATAAAATAATGCCATATTGACCGCGAGATCTGAATCACCCCAATGCAGTCTATTTTAAAAATCTCATTTAAAAAAACTGAATCACAGATAAAACTAACGAGTTACCCAATTTGCAAACAAACACCTCCTACTCCCGCTGGACTCGAAAGTGGAACAAAGGTGAGTCCTCGGGGCCAGAAACATCCGTGAGTTGGCAAAGGCGGCTGAGACGCATTGGCTGGCTTCCTCTGCCCACAGCCTTGCCCGGGCTCAGCTGGAGGACTTGATGGGAAGAGAGGGGTGTGACCCCAGGGGTCCCTTCCCCAACCCCACTCATTCACAGGTTTCCAGGAGGCTCAGCTTATGAGAAAGAACCAAGGACAGACAGCACACAGCCTAGAAGTGGCATCTGGCCAAAGGACCCCAGCAGAATACATTTCACAAAACTGTGCAACCACCCATGGCGTCAATTCTTGCGTCTTACAGACAACTGCTACCGGATGAGTCAAAAACATGGCCCGCGGGGGAAGCTGGGCCAGGGGGAACATCTGGGAGTCCCAGAATGGCTCCACTGACCAGCCTCCTCGGCCCCAATCCCGAGCTCGGGGTGCCAGGTGAGGAGGCAGAGAGCAGACGCCAGCTGCCGTGCCCGGCCGGCCGTGGTGAGATGGTCCCAGTGCTCCAGGCTCCGGGGCCCTCTCCGCAGGCTGAGAGGGCGAATGCCCCCCAAACCTTTTACCAACAGGAACGTATGTATGTATCTTCCTATCGAAATGCCCAGGGATCCTGACCTCGGGCCTCAGGACTGTGACATGCAAGGCAAACCCTGCCTCCTCCGTTCAGACGTTGCCTTGGAAACTTGCCAGGGTGTGGCCCTCCAGGCCTGGCCACTCCCGGGAGCCAGCATGATGAAATAAGTAAGGCAGTAGCACCCAGTTTTCCATCTCTTCCCTGCTGGCCCTTGCTTAGGGTCCCAGGGCCCGGGCCCACCGGAGAGCGGCCGGCAAGAAGCTGGATGTTCCTAAGGCACCAAAGAAGGTCCCTGAGCCCATGGCCACGGTCCACGTCCTCCTCTACCTGCGACGTGGGGATGCCCGTGTCTGTGAGGTATGTTGTGTGTGTGTGGAAGACTGAAAGTGGAGGAAACAGTTAAAAGAGGAAAAGAGAGAGACAAAAGCTCTGTACCTAATATCGGTTCCTTCCAATGTAATAATGCCGGTGCCAAAAGGGGGGCCAGAGAGAAACCCGTGCCATGACTAATAACTTATCCTCAGGCGCGCCCTCCACCGCCCGGGCTTAGAGGCCACACACACACACACACACACACACTCCTGGCGGACAAGGGGCTGGGAGGATCTATCGCTGGCTCTCAGGACGCAGGACTTCCAGAAGCCCAGCCTTCCCTGAGCCGTAGAGGCATGCGGGGTCCGAGGACCTGCCTCTGCAGAAGCGACTCCCAAATCACAGACCCTGGAGAGCGCCGGAGAGGGGAAAGGGCAAAGGGTGGGCAAAGAGGCCTGGTGCCCGCACCAAGTTCTTTGTCCCGGGGGCAGAGTCTAGGGCGGGGCAGGTCTCCGCCAGCGCCCCCTCCCTGGCTGCGCAGATCTGTCGGGCACACAAAATGCAGGCAGGGGGCGGGGGGCAGGGGGCAGGGGGCAGGAGGGCGCCCCGCCTCGCTTACTTCGGCACTGGCTCTCGTGTTTGGGCTTCCCCTCTCGCCTCAACCAGTTAAAATTTGCAGCCCTTCTGCTGAACGCAGCTCTGGGGCGGAAGGAAGCCCAAAATCACTCTGAGCATGTACGTGTGCAGGGGGACATGGGGGGCACTATTTCCCTGGAGGGAGAGGAAGGGTTGGATGGATGCATCGGCAGCGGGAACCTCTCCCCGCCCCCCCAGATCTTATGAATCACGCTCCGTGCACACCTTGCCCTGTGATGGGACCGGGTCCTAGCATCTTCCTGAGCGATCGGACGCAGGCCCTCGGGGAAATACACACCCCAGGCGGGCAGGGTCGCAAGCCTAGGGCCCCAGGCATGTGCGCGGGCACTCGCTGGCCACGCCTCCTCCACCCCCACCCCCACCCCCACCTCCACCTCCACTCCCAGAATCCACAGGCACCCGGGCCTCTCCCCGCCCCTCGGGCTGGGGCTCCGGCTAGAAGAGGTGCTGCTGGTGCTGCTGGTGCTGCTGGTGCAGGGCTGCGGGCGAGGGCCCTTTCTCCAGCCGCTGGACGTGGCAGGGCTGGCAGAAGAGGTGGTCCTCCAGCGGGTAGCAGCGGTGGCCGTCCTCGTCGTTGAGCTCCAGGCCGCAGTCCTGGGAGAGGCACACGTGTCCCGCCGCAGCCAAGCCAAGGGGCTGCCCAAGGCCAGCGCCCCGGGAGCCAGCGATGCGGCTCCCGAGGGGGTGGCGAACGCAGGACCCCACCCAGCCACCCTCCTGGGGAAGGTCTGGGCGGCACTGCCCCACCCCCGGGCCACCCGCCATCGATCCCCATCCTGCACTTGAAATGGGGCTGGTGGGCCGAAACCGGTTTGGCTCAGCGGTGGAGCGTCGGTCTGTGGACTGAAAGGTCCCGGGTTCGATTCCGGTCAAGGGGGCATGTACATTGGTTGCCGGCACATCCCCGGTAGGGGGTGTGCAGGAGACAGCTGGTCGATGTTTCTCTCTCATCCATGTTTCTGGCTCTCTATCTCTCTCCCTTCCTCTCTGTAAAAAATCCATAAAATATATTTTAAAAAAAGAAAGGAATGGGGCTGGTGAGCAATGGGAGGTTATGTCAGGGTAAACACACGCCAGGTTTCCAAGGCTTGGGGGGGGGGGGCGGGGAGAGGGGGAGGGAAGGATATAAATGACTCATGAGAAATGTTTCACGGTGACTCCACGTGGGAATGGTTACCCTCTGGAGAGAAGGGGCTGGGTACCGTTTATCACAAAATGGACCCTGGGCAATTTCTTTTCAATGTGGCTACTAGGAAGCAAAGAGACAGCGGGACCTGCGTCTGTGGCTCTCGATTTCCACCGGAGCGTGGGTCTGGATGTGTGGAGGGGACCGTGGAGCGTGGAGCTTCCCCTCTGCCCCTCGCGCCTGGGGCAGCACTGACAAGGCCCACCTGTTTCCTCAGCATGGGCGGCGGGAGCGATCTATCTGTACCCACACCCCGGTTCTCCCGACCCGACCCCCCCCACAGCATCACAAAATACGTCTCCATCTCCTCCTCCCACGTAGTTCCGGTTGGCAGGCCACGGGCTCCCACAGCGCCTGCAGCCTTCCCAAGGGCTGGAGAGGGGTGACCCCTGGTGGGCCTAACCGTCCTCAGCCCGGGGGTGAGGGGGGGGGGGAAGAGGCAGAGTCCCCCCACCCCACCTTCACACCCATCAGCCACCCCTGTGTCCCAGGGGGGTGAGGTGCAGGAGAAATGTCTTTGTGATTTCCAGGGCTCGGCTGAGAACGAGGCTCCCGGCAGACGGAAAGCCTACACCAGCGTGTCAAACTCACAGCCAAGCTTGGTACACACTGGAGGGGGGGTGGGGTCTATTCCGCACATGGCACAGCTGCCTGAAGACGAGGCCCCCCCACAAGACCCCATGCTCCTCCCACTCGGCAGCTGCAGGCGGGGCAGCTGCCGCGGACTCGGGCCTTAGAGAAAACGACAAAGACCTTCATGCCCCAAACACCTGCGTCCTGTCCGCCCTCTCCTCCCACCTCCGCCCACAGAACAGGCTCCGTCCCATTTCCTCCCTCCGCTCCGACGGCAGCCCCAGGCCCGGACCTAACCGCCTCCTGCCTGGGTCACCTGGGCGGGCTTTCTCCTGGACTGAGAAGCGGGTGCTGGGGGCCTGGGCGGGGGGAGGCCTACCTCGCAGTGGTAACACTCCACGTGGTAATCTCTGTCCATGGACACGACGCGGATGGTCTCATCCGAGCCCTGGGCCGAGAAAAAGCGAGAACAAGACGTTGGGGGGCCCATTGGGTTCCACAGGCAATGGGGTATGTGTGGAGGGGAGCAGGGAAGGATTCTGAGTAACAAGCAGGCAGCCTTAGGAGAAGAGACTAGCATGGGGGGGGGGGGGGTAGGGAAGGACACACTGACTCATGGGAAATGGAGGGACAGGAGTCCCACCCTCTGGAAGGTCGTCAGCACTGAGAAAGCCACCTGCTCACCTCCTCCTCCAGGACCTAGCACTGAGTCTGCCCCGACTGCGGGCAAACAGGGCACGGCAGGGCACTGGGCTGGGGCCGTGGTCGGCAAACTGCGGCTCAGGAGCCACATGTGGCTCTTTGGCCCCTGGAGTGTGGCTCTTCCACAAAAATACCACGGCCTGGGCGAGTCTATGTTGAAGAAGTGGCGTTAGAAGTTTAAGTTTAAAGAATTTGTTTGGCTCTGTGGACTCATGAGTTTGCTGACCACTGGGCTAGGGATGCGGGTGAGAGAGGAAGGGGCCGCTTGGGGAGGACACGAAGGACAGAGCCGGGAGAAACTCCTGTGGTGAGCAACCCGGGTCCGCGGGGCATCTCACCTCAGGCGGAAGGATGGGGAGCCCGCAGGCTGCACACTTGGGGGCCAGCACCCTGTGGGGAAAGCAGAGACGCCGTGAGATGCCAGTTGTGCTTCTGGAGGGCAAGGCCCAGGGCTCCTGGGAGCCCTCCTCCCGGCCTGGCCCTGCCCCCTCCGGCCCCGGACAGTGGGCCTGGCTCACTCACTGGGACGCGCTTCCTCACACTCCGGGATCCACCCCCAGTGCTAACGGGCACACGTGGCCCCTCTCTGCTCGGAACAGAGACTGACTGTCTGCTTTCTCCCCACGAGGAGCCTGGCACAGGCCCAGGCACACCGAGGGAGGAGACCGGTGAACCGGAGGATGTGACCTGGGGGTTTTTGGTGTGTGCATGTGTGTGTGTGTGTGTGTGTGTGTGTGTGTGTGTTTTCAATAAAAGTAATTCTTGAATCAGCCAAAACCGGTTTGGCTCAGTGGATAGAGCATCAGCCTGCGGACTGAAAGGTCCGGGGTTCGATTCCAGTCAAGGGCATGTAGCTTGGTTGCGGGCACATCCCCAGTGGGGGGTGTACAAGAGGCAGCTGGTCGATGATTCTCTCTCATCGATGTTTCTAACTCTCTATCCCTCTCTCTTCCTCTCTGTAAAAGAATCAATAAAATATATTTTAAAAAAAATTAAAAAAAATACTTTAAAAAAAGAACCTTTGTAATAATATGAACAATAAAGATGATTTTTAAAAAAAAGTGAATAGGCAAGCCACAGACTGGGAGAAAATATTCACAAAATATGTCTGATTAGGGCTGGTATCTAGAGCTGCACTGTTCGATATGGCAGCCATTAATATAGCTGTTTCAATTTAAATTAATTAAATTAAATCATTAAAAAAAAAAAAAGTAATTCTTTAATCAGTTCCCATCTGCACAGACATCTGCTGAGCTCCGAGGCCCCCGCTCCACCCCGCAAACGGTGAGTGAGGCCTTTGCAGGGCTGTGGGCTAACGGGCGAGCCGCCTGCAGACTCGCCTCGGCGGGTGTCTGCCGTGGCTCCCGAGTGCGGCCCCGCCCTCTTACTTGTGGTAATCGCGGACACAGTAGATCTTGTTCTCCGAGTCCACGGTGAAGGGCACGCCGTCCAGGCACTCGTTACAGACGACACAGCGGAAGCAGCCCGGGTGGTAGGCCTTCCCCAGGGCCTGCAGGATCTGCGGACACACAGGTCAGGCCGGGACTCAGCGGGATGACAATCACACATACCAAGTTTCACGTGGCCCAAGGTCAAGAGGCGACCGGGCAGGAAAGCGAATGCGGTCACATGTATAATAAACAGGAGGAGGCCACACAGGACCTTCCTCCTCAATTCCTAAAACTCCGGGAGGGAATTTCAGTGGCTCCCCCGTCGGAAAGCCTTACGGTTCTCCGTAGGAAATGATGCATAGTAGGGCCACAAAAGCATCGATCCGCCCCGGATCTGGGGAGCAGCGAGTACTATGTGGAAAGGTTGAAGGCAATTCCCCGTGGAAAATGCAGGGCTCGGAGAACGCCTCCAAGCCCTTCTAAGCGGCTTTGACCCTGCGGCAGGAGAAGCCGAGACTCAGCCGATTATCTCAAACCCAAGTGCAAGCAAAGCCTCTTTGCTGTTGCTTTTTAAGAAGCACAGTGAAGCCGAAACCGGTTTGGCTCAGTGGTAGAGCGTTGGTCTGCGGACTGAAGGTCCCAGGTTCGATTCCGGTCAGGGGCATGTACGTTGGTTGCGGGCATATCCCCGGTTGGGGGTGTGCAAGAGGCAACTGGTCGATGTTTCTCTCTCATCGACGTTTCTAGCTCTCTATCTCTCTCCCTTCCTCTCTGTAAAAAATCAATAAAATATATTAAAAAAAAAAAAAAAAAAAAGCACAGTGAAGAGAAGGCCCCACAAACCTCCTTCCCCTCAGGGTCCCTGACCCAGAGGTGCCACCTGGACCGGTAAGAGGCCACCCTGAAGCCGGGACCGTGCTGACACGCGTGGGGAGGGGAGAAGAGCCGGACAGAACGTCCTTGGCGACGTCAGAACGTAACCAGATCCACCCACCGCGGGACCGCCCACCTCCACACTCTCGTTCGGTGAGAAAAAGGGTTTTTCCTGCTAAGTCGGTGGTTCTCCGAGTGCAACCCCTGGACCAGCAGGAATGAGTATTCATGTCCATCAAAGATGTGCCTAAGCCGAAACCGGTTTGGCTCAGTGGATAGAGTGTCAGCCTGCGGACTGAAGGGTCCCGGGTTCGATTCCGGTCAAGGGCATGTACCTTGGTTGTGGGCACATCCCCAGTGGGGGGTGTGCAGGAGGCAGCTGGTCGATGTCTCTCTCTCTCATCGACGTTTCTAGCTCTCTATTCCCTCTCCCTTCCTCTCTGTGAAAAAAAAAAAAAAAAATCAATAAAATATATTAAAAAAAAAAAAAGACGTGCCTAAGGGTGTTCACAGCGGCTCTGTTCCTGCGTGGCCCCCACGTGGGAACCAGCCAAACCCCACCAGCAGGAGAATGGATGAGCAAACTGCCCTATCCCTACAACGGACTTCTCCGTAGCAAGGAAAACAAACACACTCCCGACACAGGTGACCACAAATGCACGAATCTCAGAAACATCTTCCTACGGGAGAAAAGGCAGACCCCAAGGAGCCTGTACGGTAGGATCCCATTTACACGGCGCCCCGGGACCAGCGAGACAAACCCGAGGCCAGAGGTGGCGGGGCCAGCAGGGGGCCCCGGCGGGAGGGGGGTCTCGACGTGGAGGCGGCCAGGGAGGAACCTTCTGGGGTGCGGACTGTGGGAGATGACCTACATCCTGATCTGGGGGAGCTGCTGTGAGTATCTGCACGTGTAAAAGTTCACTCAGCTGCACACTGGGGGGCGGGGGAGGGTGTCCTTTACTCCATGAGTTGCTTCTCAATAAAAATGGTTGTTGCTTATTTATGTATTTATTTTAAATATATTTTATTGATTTTTTTTTTTTTACAGAGAGGAAGGGAGAGGGATAGAGAGCTAGAAATATCGATGAGAGAGAAACATCGATCAGCTGCCTCCTGCCCACCCCCTGGTGGGGATGGGCCCGCAACCAAGGTACATGCCCTTGACCGGAATCGAACCGGGGACCCCTCAGTCTGCAGGCCGACTCCCTATCCACTGAGCCAAATGGGTTTCGGCTGGTGGTTGTTGTTTTTTTTAAAGGCAACTCTTAGCAATTCCCTTCTCCTGAAAGGAATGAAGGGATCAGGAAAAAGGAGTTTATTTAACTCTACAACGAAAACAAAGTTCTAGGTCCTTTTCTCCAGTATATTAAATAAAACCTACAGGGCCACTCTCCATGGGTGAGCACCTGACCCTCCATATCCCTTAGGCCCACAGCCTCCCCCTGTAAGGCGGGGCTGCGAACGCCCACCTGGGGCCCTATAAGTCCTTCGGTCTGGCCCTGCCAAGGCATGAGGGGCGAGCTGATTAAATGTGTGACACAACGCAGCAGGCGATCTTTAAGCTGGTAATCTTGTCTGGCCCATGAGTGATGCTATAGATATCCAAATGGCCCCTGGCAGGAAAAAGGTTCCCCATCCCTGCTCTACGGGGGCCAGGAAGGGAAAGCTAGCTCCCCTGAAGGATAGAGACACTGCGGCCCAGGACACAGTGAATGGCTCAGAGAGCCCGGGGCTCAGCCAGGAACAGAATGGATAAAAGGTGCTCCTTGTTCCCCTGGTTCAAAATTCATCTTAGGCCCCGGCTGGTGTTCTCAGTGGTTAGTGTTGGCCTGCACACCAAAGGGTCTCCAGTTCTATTCCTGGTCCAGGGCACGTACCTGGGTCTCAAGTTCGCTCTCTGTTCCCGGTTGGAGGCAACCAGTTGATGTGTCTTTCTCACATCAATGTCTATGTCTCTCTCTCTCTCTCTCTCCCCCCCCCCCCCCTCCCTCTCCCTCATTCTCCCTCTCCTTCTCCCTCCTTCTCCCTCTCCCTCTCTCTCTCCCTCTCCACCCCCCCTCTCTCCCTTCCTCCCTCCCACTCTCTCTGAAAAGCGATGGAAAAAACATCTCCTCAGGTGAAGATTCACAACAACAACAACAGAAATGTAATTAGTTTTAGGAACAGACTGAGCCGGGCAGAGCAAAGGGGAAAAGCACAGAGTTTATCTGACTTTCTGTGCCCGACGCCAAGGCAGCTGAGAATCCCGCAGTGAAAACAGGTCCCACCGGGCATGTCAGCCAGGATGCCGCCGGGCCCCCAGGAGGCCAGAGGGAGGCCAGCGTGCGGACAGCCCAGAGCAGAGAAGATCATGGGAAACACACCGCCATGTGGACTGGAGGGCTGGGGATGCGCACGCCAACGCAAGCCAACTTCAAACACGGCGTCCTGCCTGGGACCTGCTTCCCACAGGTTCATAAAGACGCAGCCACACGCCGAGCTAGGACACACGGTTCTCCCTGGCGAACGCCTCTGTTCTCTGCGGGCGTCCCCCTCTCCCCACTCACCATGTCCATGATCAGGTGGCCACACAGAAAACACCGGTCAGCTGACTGCTGGAAGCCGGAGTACTGCCGAGGGAGGAGAAGAGAGAGTTAACCCAGGCAGGGCGGAGGCACCCAGCCTCCCCCATCTCCCCGGCCAGCCATGAGGGTAGCCAGGACGTTCTCAGAGAGATGTGTCACTCTGGAACCTGTCATTTCCCCGGGAACAACACAGCTGTGAGGTGACTCATGGAATCATTTCTGCCACAAAAGCCACGACCCATACCAATACCACTTGCCCCAGGAAGGCCACCTGGGTACCCGTGGCAGGGCAGAGGGGCCTGAATCCAACCAGGGCGGTTCTAAGGGGAGTTCTCTCAGGCATCGCCTACAAACTCCAAAAAAAAAAAAATGCAAATGATTAGGATACAGCCCACGTGGAGGCTCAGGGGTGGGGCCCGGAACCCGTGTTTTCACAAGCCCTTCGAAGGATTCTGATGCATGTTCAAGTGTGAGGCCACCAGGTCAGTGGATCCTAAAACAATTCTGAAGCATGCAGGCTAACCTGGAAGCTCAGAGAGGTTAAGTGATCTTCTCAAGGTCACACAGCTTCCAAGGGGTAAGGACAGGATTCAAAGTCAAGTCAGTTTCTGGTTAAAAAGCCAATGCTGCCGAAAACCGGTTTGGCTCAGTGGATAAAGCATCAGCCTGCGGACTGAAAGGTCCCGGGTTCGATTCCGGTCAAGGGCATATACCTGGGTTGCGGGCACATCCCCAGTAGGAGGTGTGCAGGAGGCAGCTGATCGATGATTCTCTCTCATCGATGTTTCTAACTCTCTATCCCTCTCCTTTCCTCTCTGTAAAAAAAAATCAATAAAATATATTAAAAAAAAAGAAAGCCAATGCTTTTGACAGTTAGCTTCAAAGAAACTTGATAAGTATTATTACACACACACACACACACACACACACACACACAGCACGAGTCTTAAACGAGGAACTCTCTTCAGAAAACATACGGGCTAATACTCCCTGGGAGAGAGTGGAGCTTAGATATTGCAAATATTATCTCATGGGGGGCATGTCCTGGAAAGGAAGGTGGGGAAGGAAGAGGGGAACTCTCTACAACTCTGCACCAGGTGTGGTTTCTGCCGTCTGGCACCTTCTCCCGTTCCAGGGGTAACAACCGTGTGGCATTGTCACTCGGGACCCCACCATTCCCGTGGGGCCGACCCCATCCTGTGTGCCCAGGCGGGGCACAGACGGGGCCCCGGCCAATCAGAGCCTCGCATCCCGCCAACACCAATGCCTTTGCCCAGGGAGGGCCAAGAGCGCCACCAAGAGCCACGGAGGCTCCGGGAACGGTCTGCCCAGGCTCCGGCCAAACACGGGACCCGCACGTCAGGCCACCGCTTAGTGCCCACCGAGCCTGACACCACACCGCGGGCGGCAGAGGCGGGGCCGGAAGGAGAAAAGGACTCCCGAGGCCCCGCTGGAATGAGTCTCCTCTGGGCTGCAGCCAGCCCGGGGCTGTGTGTCCGTGCCCGGCAAACGTGAGTCACACGAATCCACCCACACCAAGCAGCTGGCCGGCCCCGCTGGGTCTCAGTCCTCCCTCATCCCTGAGGCGCAGGCTCAGTCCGGCTCCCTCGGTGCTCCCTCCCGGCCGCACTCTGTGCCCAGCACTGAGCTCGGGTCTTGGGCCTGCAGGTGGAGGAGCTCGCTCAGCCCTCCGGCGGGGCTGCCGTCTCCGCGGTCCGGAGGGAGAGGCTTACACACGGACACGATGCGGCGTGCTGCCGGCCTGCCAGGGCGGGGGCTGCACGGAGGAGGCAGGCCCGCGTGGGGGCAGGAGGGACAGGAAGGCTGCGGGAGTTCCCGGGGCAGAGAAAGGGCGAAGACATCGCAGGCAGAGGAGACGGCGGCACCAGCGAAGGCAGCAAGGGAGGTGGGCAGGCGGGCGGGCAGAGCGTGGCAGGTGCAGAGTGAGTCAGGCTGACGCGGAGAGCTTTTCTGCACGGGCTTGAACCCGGGGGCGCGCCCGAAGGCCAGGTGCACAGGCGGATAGTGTGGAGGAGGGCAGCAGGTCCAGCCACTGCCGGCTAAGCAGGCCCGGGGGGTGCCTGGTGGCACCAGGCTCCGTGAGTGGCTGCATGGGGACGGGCGGGAAGGAGGAGGGACAGGAGGACCCACGGCGAGGGGGTGTTTCTGCTTCTGGCAACCGGAGTGGGGGGCCCGGGGGGCAGCCCGGGGCGGTCCTGTGGGTGGTGGGGTGTCAGCAGCGGGCCTCCGAGGTGACAGGGCTGCACAGGCAGGGGCCGTCCATGCGTGGGGGGCGGCCGATCCGTGGGGAGCAGGCAGAGTGAGACGTGAGGAAGGCCTGCATCCCAGCGCGGAGGCTTTTGGGGGATAAGGGGTGGAGTGGGCAGAAGTGGGCACAACAACAAGAGGACAGGCCCAGTGACCCTCGAGTCCCTGCAGAGCACAAAGCTGGGTGGCTGGGCGTTGGCCTCGGGCACCGGGCGCCCCACGCATCTCCAGAAGGACGGCCGGGACCCCGTTCGGGAGCCGTGCGGCCACCCTCCTCTCCTGGCCGGGCCTCCCGTATGCTGCCCGCCCCCCCCCCCCCCCGACTCTGGTCAGGGCTGTGGGGAGGGAGGCTTGGGGGTCAAACTCACCAGGAAGTCCTCCTCACAAAACACTTTGCCGTTGACGAAATAAAAGGCTTTTCCTCTCAGCTTCCGGCCTAAGGAAAAAAAAATTCAAATTAAAATAACAGCCGGTGCTGCGCCCGTCGGGCAGCGGGCAGCGAGAACAGCGCGAGTGATGACACTGGCAGGCAGACACTCCCCACACCACGAGGGTGTCTGATTGTTTTTAAGTTAAATCTTTTTTAAAAAAATATATATTTTATTGATTTTTTTTTTTTTTTTTTTTTTAACAGAGAGAAAGGGAGAGGGATAGTTAGAAACATTGATGAGAGAGAATCATGGGTCAGCTGCCTCCTGCACACCCCCTGCCAGGGATGTGCCCGCAATCAAGGTACATGCCCTTGACCGCAATCAAACTTGGGACCCGACAGTCCGCAGGCTGATGCTCCATCCACTGAGCCACACCGGTTTAGGCTTAAGTTAAATCTTTATTGTTGAAAGTGTTACGTATATCGTCCCCTTGTCCCCTTCTTGGAGCAGGGTTCTGAGAGAAATTTTGGAATTAAATATTCATAGAATTTAGAAAGTTCAGATGATTTTGACCCAAAAATTCTACTGCAAGACAATAATCAGAGTTCAATTGTTTAAAGGCTCTTCATCCCGCCATCATTATAACGTCTGCGAGAAATGAGCGGCATCCTAGTCCTATAAGATAAACGGCAGGGTTTATTCTATTAGGCAGCCATAAGAAAGGATTGTTTTTAAAAAGAGATTTTAAGGACCCAGCGACATACTTAAAATTCTTTAAAAGCGGGGGGAGGGGTTATAAAAGTATGAGTGTGTGTGCATATACATGGACATACAAACGCACACACCTATGGTTGCAAAATTGCACGTGCTTTCCTACACTTCAGGTGTAGACCAAATGCTAACCCTCACAGTGAATTACCCTCACTTCTAGAAGGTCCTAGAACCTTCGCAAGTATTTCCTGGCTCTGCTAAGCTAGGGTAACAAGACAAGTGCTTACAACTCAGTAGTTTCAGAGTTCACTACCAGAATCCCCCGGCAGCCTTGGAGGTTAAGTTTAACTGGTTTTCTTCATTCTAGGATTTCCCACCGGGGTGATGGGAAATGAGGTGAGGCTGCAGCTGCCGGTGAGGCCACTAGAGGGAGCGGGAGGCCGCCTGAAACCCGCACAGGCCACGCTAGAGTGGGCAGACACCCAGCTCTGAGCCCAGGAGTCCGCCCAGGGAGTCCTAACGAGTCTGAGACCAGGAGCCTGAGCTGGGAACTGCAGGGTTTTTTGTTTTAATAGAGGGCGGATTACCTCTGCTGCAAAAACCATCCAGGAAGATCATTAAGCACGCCGGAGCACTGAACCCTCTCATATTCTAAGAAACGCAAATTATACAAGAGCTTTTTCTCTTATATTAACAAAGACTTTTTTTTTTTTCAGTGATCCCAGTCGTTTGTGACTGCAGCTACGACATATTTCTGCAAGCCACTCATGAGAGTGTAAAACGATAAACTCTCTTTGGAAAGGAAACTTTAAAACGTTTATCTTTGATTCAGTGGGGCAGTCTGGGACTTAGCTTAGGGAAAGAATCTGACGTGTGAATAAATATTTACTTCAATCTAAACTGATAGCCTTAGAAAAGGACTACATAAAACAGGGTGCATCTAAATGTGAAAACATGATGTAGCCATTTAAAATACCATTCAGTTTAAGTGTTTTAGTGACACTGGAAAATGCTTATACTATAGAAAAATATGCAATAACATTAGGAAGTGAAAAAGGCAAGCTGACAGCTGTATTTATAGTACAACTCCAGTTCAGTAACTTGCACACACACACACACACACCACTAATATGTAAAAGAAAAACCTGGAAGATTGCACACTAAAACTACTAGCGGTTACTACTGGTAGCTAGTGTTACAGAGAAATTCCACTTTCAATTTTATAAATAAAATAAAAAAAACTTATCTACTATTACATAGCACTGGGAGGCTGTAATGAAGGGAAGTTGCAGTTACCACTTCATACATTTCAATGTTTAAAACTTTTTTGTTTAGTATCAGGTCCACAGGTAGATGAAATGAGAAATTTTACTTTTTGTTTCATAATGTCATTAAGATTTTCTAGAATTTTCTGTATTTGTAACTTAAAAAACACCATTATGTAATAATATGAAAAATAAAAAAATAAAAGACCTAAAGATTGTGTATTTCAAACCTGTCAGGAAGAAATTCAAAGAAAAAAGACTGGAAAAGTCTGCCCAGAGGAGGGTGCCCGTGGGTGGACACAATGGTGCCTGCATCCCAGGGGGCAGGGCGGGGGCTGAGGCATGTTCATGCTTTGTTTGCTTCTGTCCACTTTCCTATACCTCCCCAAACTTCTTTTTTTAAATATATTTTATTGATTTTTTTTCAGAGAGGGAAGGAGAGGGATAGAGAGAAACATCGATGAGAGAGAATCATCTATCAGCTGCCTTCTGCAACCCCCCCCCCCACCGGGGATGTGCCCACAACCAACGTACATGCCCTTGACCCGATTCGAACCTGGGACCTTTCAGTCCGCAGGCCGACGCCCTATCCACTGAGCCAAACCGGTTTCGCCACGAAGCATTTTCTATTGACTGGGCACCTGACCTACGCAGTATCTCAACGACCCTGACAATTCCGCGACCGTCTTTTGCGAGGGCACCCGTGTGGTGTCACTTGTTGGGACCACAGGCACGCAGAGGGGAAGGGGCGTCGGGCAGAAAGCAACAAGCAGCCTGGTCTTGAGAAGCGGGGGGGGGGGGGGGGGGGGGGGCAGAGGGGCAGGAATTGCTCCAGATCTGGCCCTTGACACAGGCACCGACGAACCAGGAGATTCCTGGCATCGCGGCCCCTGGCCCCGGGCGCTCCATGCAAGGGCAGGATCCAGCATCGACACACCAGCGAGAGCAGCCGCCCGCCACTAGGGGGCCCCACAGCCCAGCCGGGACCAGGACCCTTTCTCAGGAGGCAGCAGCCTCTGGGTTAGCAGTTAGTGGCACTGTCCACGGCGGCAGCCATTAGCCACATGCGGCTAAATTTAAACTTTAATTAAAGTGAGATATAATAAAATGCCAACCTCTCAGTCGCAACAGCCACATCGCAAGGGCTCAACAGCCACACGTGGCCTCTGGCGGCCATAGGGGACCAGGTGTGTCTACAGTTCAGAAAAGCAGCCGAAGATCAGGAGGCCAAACGAAGGCAGAGAGGGGCGGGTGGAGAGGCATAACATTAACCATCCTAGGGTTAGACCTAGGGTGGTTAATTTTATGTGTCCACTTGAAGAAATTGAAGATTTTTAAAAATATATATTTTATTGATTTTTTTTTACAGAGAGGAAAAGAGAGGGATAGAGTTAGAAACATCGATGCGAGAGAATCATCGTAGCTGTCTCCTGCACCCCCCCCCCCCACTGGGGGATGTGCCCGCAACCAAGGTACATGGCCTTGACCGGAATCGAACCTGGGGCCTTTCAGTCCGCAAGCCGATGCTCTATCCACTGAGCCAAACCAGTTTCGGCGAAATTGAAGATTTTTTTTAGAGGCAGGATTTCAGAAAGAAGAGGTGCTCTTAGCAAAACGGGAGAGCCAGGGACACCCAGGTGGCGTCTACAACACCTGAATGAAGTTCAGACCTCCAGAGGAGGTCTCCTCCCGAACTCCAGCACCTTCATGCTCATGAGGGTGCCGTGTCCCCTGGCATGTGGCACCCTCTCTCCATCCTCCACTGGGGCCCGGGGGGGACAGGGGACACCTGGGCACAACCAGATCTCAGCCTTGCTCTGGGACTCCTGAAGGAAAGGAAAGCGAATTCCCACCCAGAACCACCCGGGTGCTTGGAACATGGGTGTGGCCACACTGGAGTTGCCTGCACCATGCAGGTCAGTAACGCCGGCTCCATGGATGCCCCCCAGCACGAAGAAGCTGGTGTTCTTCTGTAAGGTCAGGCCTGTTTCTAACTGCCCGGGAAACGGCCAAGAGATTGCAATCTCAACCTTATGTTTGCATTTCCCCAGGCCAATTTGCCAATTTCCCCAGGCCACCTGGGTGTGGTTTCTGCCTATAAAAGCTTGTAACTAACCTCTGTTCGGGGCTCTCAAGCGGCAGTCTTTTTCTGGACTGCTGCTTGTGGGTCCCTGCGCAGCGCTTGGAATAAACCTCCTGCTCTTTGCATCAAGACTCGGGCTCTGCGTTTGATTTGGGGTCGCCGCTCATCCTTTGGACCGGGGGTCTTTCAGGCCTTACATTCTGGGGGCTCGTCCGGGACCGAGCGGCCCCCCCCTCAAGCCCAGAACCGATCTTGGAGGTAAGAAGGGGTACCCCGAAGTTGTCTGTCTTTGTCTTGTGTTCTGTTATCTGATCTGGTTCTGTGTGCGCACTTCTGTAATCTGATCTGGTTCTGAGTTCGCAGCCGTTCGGCAACTCGTGAGAGTGGCCGAACAGTGGTCGGTAGACGTGTCGGAGGGCCACAGGCTGCAACCCTGGGGGACGCCCCAAGGGTGCAGGAGAGCCAGGGGCGCCTGGCGGTCTCCTATCAGGTGTCGGGTTCGAGTCCCGGCAATCAGGTGTCGGGTTCGAGTCCCGGCAATCAGGTGTCGGGTTCGAGTCCCGGCAATCAGGTGTCGGGTTCGAGTCCCAGCAATCAGGTGTCGGGTTCGAGTCCCGGCAATCAGGTGTCGGGTTCGAGTCCCGGCAATCAGGTGTCGGGTTCGAGTCCCGGCGAAGATCGGATAGGTTTGGTTACTGAGACAGTGAGGCAGCCGCGACCGTCTGCCCCAATCGTGTGTTTGTGGAAGCGATTCAAGTGGAGACTCCTTGGCTCTGTCTGGGTTTGGAGTCTGGAGATTCCCTGGTTCTGGTCTGAGTGAGTGTTTTGTGAGTGTTGAGAGAGTGCGGCCGCAATCGAGTGTGTGGGAATTGGTAAAAGTGCAGTGTTTTTGTTTTTACTCTTTTGGATTTGTTTTGGAATTATTTGTTGCCTAACAAATTGGGAAGAAAGAGAAAAATGGGGCAAGGAAACTCAAAGGAGAGTCACCTAAGTCCCCTTGAATGCA